AATGGTACCTGGATGGACTTCAGCATGAGCTGCCTGTTGTCGAACGGCCTCAGGTCTTTGGGGATGTAGAGGCGGACGGAGCTGATGGAGGTGAGGAGACTGAGCATCACGGGAACCACCTGGACAGAAGCCGACGCCCTCATTGGGACCGCCGTCCTATTTTAGGGCGGGGGGGGTAACGGTGCCGGCGTCACCCACCTGCATCTCTCCCGTCTCCCCCGGGGCGGCGGGCTTGGCGGCCTCGGTGGCCGAGTTCTTCACGCTGTCTTTGCTACAGTGGAGCAACACCTCCACCACGTAGAGCGGATCGAACTCCGTGCTGGCCTGAGAGGGTTGTAAAAAGTATGGATACTCAAAAAAGTATAGATACTAAAATGTTGTATCCGATGTATTTATGTATTTTTTTATGATCATTAACATGACGTTAGCCTTGAACTGCTAGCTGTGGCTAATGGCTAATGATAACATGCTACCATTAATCAAGTACATATCCAACTCCGCCCACATCCAAGTCGGACATTTTGATTTCGTCACCAATAGGAAGATTCCAGGCAAGAAAATTGTAATGCCTCATGGCAATATAGACATTAATTTAAAAATAGTGAAATTAATCTTTCAAACACTTAATTAAACTAATTAAATAATATTATGTTAAAATAGTGGATGTTAAATAGGTTTTTACAATAAGTCCAAACAAGTTTAGCCATAAAATATTTATTTCTCTATTTATTATGAAGGGTGGAGGGTTAGGGTTTTCGGTTAGGGTCATTAATGCGGGCCACCATAACATCAGTAACAGGTCAGTTTGAAACCAAAGACACTAACCTATCAAAATTCTGTTAAGTTTTGGGGTCTTTGTTTTTATCCTTGTGGTATCGAAAATGGTATTGAGTATTTTCCTGAGTATTGGTATCGAGTTGAACATTTTAGTATGGTGACAACCCTAGAGGGCAGATGCCGGACTCACCTTCACGTTTGCCTTCTTGCTAAAGTTTACGACGACTCCCCAGCCGAAGTCGGCCTCCTGGTTCTTCACCTGGGGCACCAAAAACATGCGGCTCAGCCTTAGATCGAGACACCAGATAACCAGCTACACCTCACAGATCGGCGTGAGGACCTACCTTGACCAGTCGGCCCGGCTGCAGGAAGGGGAGGCAGTATTTGGGTTTGTGGATGAACTCCTGGATCTC